CCTGCTGATTTGGGGGGTTCATCCCTGAAGGTACCAGTGGGTACATGTTTGCGGAAGGATGCGCAGAGATCAGCGGGGGGGTGGTGCAGTTGAAGGAAGGCATTAATGGTTTCTGCAGGGGTTGGGGAAAGGAGAGCTGTGCCACTGAGCAGGATCCTGGTGTCCCCGCCTGACCTGAAGTGCCTGCACTTACAGAGCACATGAGAGTTTTGTGCTGCAGCGAGTGTGTTGTTAAAATAATTTTGTAGATTTAGTGTGCTGTTTTATTTCAAAAAAAGGTGCAGTATTAATGGTAGCAGCCCCTGTACTCTTTGTAGTGAAGACTGATGCAGTGAAGTCACTAAGTTGCTTGGTTTTTATTTTCCTTTTACATTAATTCTGCAGATTTTACATAAATAAACATTTAGACAATCACAGAGATTACAAACACCAAAAATTAGTTAATGTACTGTTGTGATATTTTCCTCAGTCGTCTTTTTCACAACTATTCGTTTTCAATTTTTTGGACCTTTTTCTTTTGGGGTTTTTGGTAGGAGGAATCTGTAGGATTTTACAGTTAGTTGGGGCCAGCATTGTGGGTTTTTTGATATATATCATCTCTCTGTATAGTTATAGGCTGACATTCTTACGATATTCTGAAAAAATGCATTTGTCGTCCTTTGGCTACCTGCTATTCAAATTCTCACATAGATTTAATTTCATATGTTCTTCTTTGGTATTGCTCAGTTTGGCCTTGTGAGAGATGTGTTTTACCCTTCAGTAAACACTTGCCGCAGAAAAGGCTGAAACTGATTTTAAAATGATGAATCTTACAAACCATCAAGTCTGAAATAATCAATGTAAATTGTGCACTTCTACTATGGTAAGATTTTGTCATGTATTACATGCCTATTACTTACACATTTAATTACATAGTTTAAACAGATCCTTTTTCAAATAGCTGGGACAAGAAACTGCCACTTAATCTATTTAAATGAAGTTGACATCCCAGAATTTGTGTAGCATCATTGGAACAGTGCATCTTATGTCCTATTCCATAAACCCCAAACTACTTCATCTGGTTTCTTGCCCATTCTGACACAAGGTAATATGAATAACAAAGTATGGTGTTACCTTGCAATTATCTGTAATCTGAAGGTGATATTTCATAACATAATAATTATGGTTTTGCATTGTTAACTTCGGGGGGATTATATTAGGTAGGAGTAGCGTTTCCTGGAAATTGACTTCTGTGCATTTCTTGAGGTTGTTTGTGGAGATAATTTTTTTTTTGTCTTAATGGAATGAGTGCTTTATAAGCAGTGGAAAAGGCAAAGATGCTGACTGAAAAGCCAGAATAAATCAATTTACTGATTTTGTGGCACTTCTTCTATTTGGCTAATACAGATCATGAATCTACCAGAAATGAACCTGAAATTACTATCTCTCTACTTGTTATTGTCTTGCCCCCACAACTCTGTAATCCCTTTTTTCCATATCATTTTCCTAAAAACATAATGTCAAGTATATACATCTTTAGAGAGAAAGGCCTACATTTAATTGCTGTAGAATTTTGTTGCAGATAACAGCTTACTGGCTGCTTGATGGCTGCTCAGTATGTTACAGTGATTAAACAGCATTCCCTTCAGTTTACTCCCTTGACTAGTCTTGGAAAAGAAAATGGTTACTTACTTCCATTTACCTATTTCTTCTCCTAAGAGGCACTTGCAATAGGCATGCTGAATTGTGATTTGGTGTATTTTGGAGAATAGTATTTTCCAGCACTACAGAAGTTTCAGAACATCTGCCAGTACCCTGTTACTGGTAACGTGGTGGAGACTTTGCCCACCCTGAAGAGTTCAAAATTAAAGATTAGCAATAGAAAAAGGACAGATACACACAGCTTTCACCCCCTCCCCTGCCCCCCAATGTATTGACTTTTAATTTTGTTGTGTAATAAATATTTTCATTTATATTTGACCTTTTAGGTGAGTGTGTAGATCATTTTGATGTGGGCATAAAAGATATGAAAAAGGAAGGAGTCTTGGCCCTTATTCAAGGAAGGCATTTCAGTTCTAGGAAATGGGCTGAAAAAAGCAGCAAGAATGTTAGTGATAAGCTAGCATGTAATAGATAAAGACTAATGTGACTGACAAAGTAAAGCCTGTAGAGAGAAGAGGAATATTTAGTCTACTGGCTAGATGTAAAATACTTAAATTAGGCACACTGAAGGGTAGTGCAATGAGATGGCCCTGCACTGCTACTGAAAATTTCTCCTGAATTTAGCTGCTTTTTTTTTTCACTGAGACCCTGGCTCTTGGTGGCGGTCTCAGCCCTGGGGTGGAGGAGTGGGAAGTGTCCCAGACTCCCTGAAGTAGCCAGGTGTGTGGGTTGAGACTGAAGTAACATCTCCCCACCGGTATCTAATACATAAACACTTGCCATGCTTTGGAGCAGTGGCTGTCAAGTCTTTGGATAATGGCTGCAGAGTGGGATAGCAGTTGAGTAAGAAGTGTGACTGGGAATATAACCTACTCATGTCTGTACCTAGCAGGAGAAGCATATAAATGTGCCTTGGTGAAAACTGAGCTTCCACAGAAAGGATGGTGAGTGTTGTTGAGTTTAGAATCTCAATTTTGGGCTTATATGTCTGACTGACACTTTTTGGGTCTGTGGTCCATTGCAGGCTGGCCTTACATCTGGGCTTGCAGATTCGATTCAGAGTTGTTTCTCACGCACAGATTTTAAAACCCGGAAGTTTGGGTTTGTTTTGCAGTATAATAACACTGTATTTTCTTTTCATTTCTTCCCCATCTAGTTTAATCTCGAGACGTTGAAAATACAATACACATGGCACAGATCCTAACATTTTTTCAGATGCTATTAATTCTGCTGCTTCATGATTACGTCTCAGCTGAAGATGGGGAAACAAGAGCAAGTAAGTCTTAATTTTTATGTTTCAGATAAGGGCAACTTCAAAGCGTGCCTTGAATTTATAGTATCCATTTTCAGGTCCACATGTACATTTCTGTTGATGGTGATTTTTTCCCAGTATAATTTTCCTGGTGAAAATTGTACAATATACAATAAGCAACTTAAATATCTTATTTCTCCTGTAGGAAGGGAATATCTTTATTTCTTTTTGTGTCTTGGAAGTGCCCAAGGGGGCAGATGGAACTGTAAAGCTCCATTGATTTAAACTTGTCTTGAGTATTTATATTTTCACTTCTTCAGAAGTCATGTTTTGAATAGCTTAATTTTATGTGAGAAACTAAGTAAGAAAAATAAGGGTTCTGTGAGATGAAGCTGAGATAACCCCAGCTCTGGGACAGAGCTTCTTGCATATTCTTCAAATGCTAATCATCTCAAATCCCACCAAACCAAGTTTTATACTCTAAATATGGTTTATAGAAAATAAAAAGTTAAAGCAAGGTAGCTTTTTGAGAGACAAAGTGGCTGAATAAAAAGAATGTGGAAAACTTTTCTCTGGCCAAAATGATGCTTTCAGGGTAGGTCTTTTTCTTCCAGTTTTCTCTCAATCCAGCATTTTCCAGTGTTTTACAACAAACTCCATAAAATTCCTTTTGGTCTCTAGAAAGACGTATATTTTTTTCAGTCTATCTGCTCTAAGCTGGGTCTGCTTTCAGCGGGGCCAGTGATGTCCAAAGTCCCTTCCAACTGAAATTACTCTGTGGTTCATATCCCTGGACCACAGAGTGATGCACTCTGCTCTTGCTCCTTCTCCCTTTCTCTTCATTACCACCTGCATTGCGAAAGTATCCCTCCAGCAGACTGTGGTCACTTGCTTTCAAAGAAGGTGAAATCTTGACCTGACCAGAAGTGTCCGTAGGCAAATGTCAGGACAAGGCAGAGCTCTTCTTCCTGTGGTGGAGCTGCAGCCTTTCAGAAAACAGAAAGCACAGTAATACACATCAGTCCCCATGACCCTATGTGCCATGGGATCAGAATAATCTCTTCTGGTTTTGGCCATCTCCTTGGCACCTCGTGTGTCAGTTATCTAAGCTCCTTTCACAGTTGATGGAAGGTGATTATCTCCTCTAGAGAGTTATTCCCTCCATCTGAAGATGTGCATATAAGATGGATAGGACTGTCGCATAGAAATGCTTGTGTCAGTCCATGGCCTGTAGTTGGCAATTTAGTCTAAAAGCTCCATTTGTAAGTGACTACAGCTAGGAGAGCTGAATCCATGCCTAAGTCATCATGCAGTTACATCATATTTGTTAAATGCTTATGGGATCTTATATTCTGGAGGTTGAGCATGTTCACTGAGCATTTTTCTTCTTCTAAAATCAGAATATGCTACCAGCAACATTCAATCGAGACTCAGGATTTTATAATAACTAGTTCTGTAAGTGTCAGTAGCAGTGTCAGAAGTCAATTAAAATGTATTTGTAAAAGGATTGGATATTACTGCTGAATTCTGGAGTATTCAGACTATAGCCTTCCTCTGCAGTGTGCTTGGTTTGCTAACAAAAATGAGTTTTTATGTTTATCATCTCTGCAGACAGAGAGATATGGAAAAAACCAAAATGTGTTCCTCTCTGCTGATTGCATGGAATGCAATTGCCAGCGAAGGAACTGAATTGCAGAATTTTTCATAGTTATTTCTGGTGATAATGTAAAAACCAGAAAATGGTATCATTTTCAGATACCAAGTTGGATCTGTGTGGCTTACAGAAATAATCTTGTTTTCTCTGATAAACTTGGCTGATTTTTTTTTAAATGGAATGTATTTGTCAGTATTGATGATAATATACAGAGTAATTGATATGGAAAATATTTTCTGTGGAAGAAGAAAGTGGAAGAGTTCATTAAAATATTTGTTTGGTTTTGTTTTTCTTTTTAAGGTTGCAGAACTGCTCCGGCAGATTTAGTTTTTATCTTAGATGGCTCTTACAGTGTTGGCCCAGAAAACTTTGAAATAATCAAAAGCTGGCTTGTCAATATTACAAGAAATTTTGACATAGGGCCAAAGTTTATTCAAGTTGGAGTTGTCCAGTACAGCGATTACCCTGTACTTGAAATTCCCCTTGGAACTCATGAATCCACTGAGAACCTCATCAGGGAAATGGAGTCCATACACTACTTGGGAGGAAATACAAGAACAGGAAGAGCTATTCAGTTTGCCTTTGACCATCTTTTTGCAAAATCTTCAAGATTTTTAACAAAAATAGCAGTTGTTCTCACTGATGGAAAGTCCCAAGATGAAGTCAAAGATGTAGCAGCAGAAGCAAGGAAAAATAAAATCACTTTGTTTGCTATTGGTGTTGGCTCAGAAATAGAGGAGGATGAACTTAAAGCTATTGCCAACAAGCCTTCATCAACTTACGTATTTTATGTTGAAGATTATATTGCAATATCAAGAATTAAAGAAGTTATAAAGCAGAAACTCTGTGAAGGTAAGTAATTTATTATAAAATATTTTAGGTGTGCAGAATGTAGTTCTATATCCATATTTCTTTATTTCACAAGCAGCACGCATGATTAATGTAACCTAAGGCACCTGATAATCTTTACTATGATCTTCGTTCATTTTGATCTTGTTTGAGGAAATCAATCCCAAAATACTATTTTCTCTGTTAAACAAAGAGGTATATTCGGGAAAGATATGGTGCTTTAATACAGCGTGTGTTTAATTTCAGTGTGTAGCATTTTGCCCTAGGCCCCAAATTTTTTGCATTGATGAAGTTTAGAAACCCTAAAGTAGTTGAGCAATTCTCATAGTGCTGAGAATATAGGGCTTACTTTATCCTTTTCCTAGGTGCAGCTGATACTCATCCACAATCTAGCATTTCTTCTTGACAGTTGAGAGGATAGCCTATCATTACAAACAGGAGTTCTTCCGCTAGTATGTGTTGAAAAACCCAGAAGAAAGACTCTTGGCAAAAGTGCCTGGATTTGTAACAAGCTGTTATGATCATTTTTAGAAGGATTTTGTAGAAGAATTAGTCAAGACCAAGATTGTAAAATGACTTTTCAGCTTTAGAACACTAGCAGCATTACTGCATTGAGTTTTCTGATAACTTTGTAAAACAATGGCTTTCCCATATATATGAAAAAGATAGCAAATTGCTTCTAAAATATATCACTTGGAAGGACTTCATTATACAGCGAATTTTATCAGTGCTATTTTGTACATGTTTTATTACCAAGAATTGGTGCAAGTCATATTTCAATTGTGCCATATTTCTGCACTGAGTAGGAATGAAAAAGAGTTTTCATTTGCTCTCACTTTGAGTATGGACTTCATTGAAAAAATATGGTTATACTTATGTTGAGGATAATAGTGTTTATTTCTTGATACAGTTATGAAAATCATAATAATTCCTTGTGGCTTATGTAGTAAGGTGGTCAGTCCAAAAATTAAATCAGCTAAGTGCAGCTAAATTCTTTAATAAAACGTCACGAAGGGAGAAATTCCCCAAAATAAACACAATATTTTCTTTAAATAAAGTTTAGAAGTGACATATTTCATCAAGATGGATTTTCTGCTTTCAGAATTAACTAGTATCCTTTAAAATTCAGCTGTGGTATTTGACATAACTCTTAGAGCAGTAATCTGCAAATGTTGGCTATGTGTACAAAAGTGTACTTACTGCTTTACTTCAGGTGACCCTTTGCTTCCACTCTCTTACGTTGCGCTCTTCCCTTGTGTTAGCACTGAGATGCCTCTCTCAAAGAGCAATCAGAGCCAGTTGGCAGCTTCATTTCTAACTGCAATGTCTTTAGCAGGTGACCTGAAAGACCAGTAAACTGGAAATTTTTTATCTGAGTGGTGGATTATTTTATTCATGTTGTTAAGATTCACTTTGATTCTGGGAGAGGAAGTTCCAAGAGGGCAAAGCAGCAATGATTTGGCTGTGATCGATCACATGAAACTGCCTGAAAATTTTGCAATTCCCTCTTGATTGTCTTTGTTTTAACGTCTAAAATAATGCTAGCCTTTACTCTGTGGCGTTTTTAACTTCATTATTATGTGAACATAGATATAAGAGCATAGGGGTAGGATTTCCTTTCTGGGGCTGAGGTTTGGTGGTTGGTGTAGCAAGTAGGGCTATTACAGACGGCCTTGCAGATAGATGGCTCTGCTGTGCCTTTTGGGAACTCTAGTGTT